GTAAGTATAAGAACCTTCGAGTAGTTTTCACCGGATGAGTGTGTCAATTGCATGTGGTGTCGTAGACATACAGATATCACCTTAGGTAGCCATTTACGAGACTTGTTAGTTAATGCTTTATTCATAATTTGTTTGCATAGACATATAGTGAACCGTTTATGAATAATAGACTCATAATACACGCGACAGCGGGTTATGAGTAAATTAGTGTCTCGGGTTAATAATCATGAATCATATATTTCATAATTGAGGGGTTTTGGGTGAGCAATTCTTGCATAGGGGGAAGATAAAATCCTAGATCCGTTTTACATTGATATTTTCTCGTGTTATTTGCTTTCTTAATTAGTTTAGTTGTTTAATTGATTTAAATTGACAAACTTGCGTAGGCTGGATAAAAATCATAGTTGTTAGAATTTGGTACTTAGGATTAGATAATTTGAGTATTCCCTGTGGGATCGACATCCGACTCTCACGAGTCCACTTTTATTACTTGTTTGCGATACGTGCACTTGCGTGTTAGGTATTTAGCACCCAACAAGTTTTTGGCGCCGTTGTCGGGGAATACGGCTAAATTATTTATTTATTCTAATATCAAATTTGAGCAATTTTTCTTACTTCAGCCATTTAATTTTAATTTTCATTTTTATTTTTATTTTTAATTTTGATTTTTTGTTTTTTGTTTTTTTTTTGTTACATGTCTGGTTACAATGTTGGGGCACCTCAAACGGGATATGAATGGCTTCCATCTGACGAATACCTCCAAAACACTTATGATATGCCTCCGTTTTGTTCAGCATGTGGTGGAAATCATTATTCCGATCAATGTTGGGGATCACCAACAACGACGAATTTCGACGAAATTACCAACAGAGGTTATTGGAACACTTACACCAACACATACGAGCAAAGATTTCAAGACCAAGATTTGAACGAGTTTCAACATAGAGAGCCACAATTTGATGATTTTCAAAATTATTATCCAATGCAGCAGCAGCAGACCACTGATGAACAAGTTGATTTGGTATCCCTCATTGCCGAATTCATGAAGTCCACTCAAGCATCATTTCGAAACATGGAGATACAACTGGAAGAGATGACACTCAAATTAAAATCTGAATCTCTTGAAAATATTCCAGACGAAATCGGCAATGGTTATATCAAAGAAAATTTGAGTGAAGCCTGCGGTGAGAAAAATCTTCTATGTCCGGAAAATAGTGTCGATGTGATAGAAATAGAAATTACGAAGACACTTGAGCATGATGAATCTGAGAAGGCAATCGAGCTAAACCACGAAGATGCCTCAACACAAGAGAAGAAGGAGATGGATGTAATGATTGAAGATATTCTAGTTGTGGACTCTGTCGTTGATCTAAATGTGGATTTGAAGGCATCAATAGTGGTTGATGAGAAGACTAATATTTTTGAGGTGGAGGTTATACGCATACTGGAGATTTTTGTATACCGATTTGAGGGAGCGGGTGATGAAGATCCCATCTTGGCTTCGTACCGATTGATTACAACCAAAAAAGACTACAAGCTAAGGTGGACCGTGACATATTGCAGTGCTATCCATGCCTTGGTTGCAATTGAAGTGATAGAGCTCATGGATGGATGCGCAATCTACAAGGCTTTGGATTGGACATAACAATTTCAAGAAGCAAAGTCTGGCTAAAGACTTAAAATTTAGCGCTTCTCGGGAGGCAACCCGAGCTTTATTGTTTTTCATATTTTTCTTTAATTTCATGTTTTATTTTTATTTTCGTAGGCATGCATTCTAATTAATTTATTTGATTTCTTATTTTTAAGGTCGGAATTGCGATCGGGACAGTCATCCGAGAGACACAGAGGGCATCTTCGCAAGAGGAAAATTAGATTTCTTTCCCACAAATTCTCACACCCCGAAGACAACGATTCCGACAAAATCAGGTGTTTTCTATCCTTAAACTTTGTGCTAATTTCGTTGAGGGCAACGAAAATTTTAAGTTTGGGGGTGAAAAAACTTGTTTTTTTTTGTGCTTATTTGTTTTAGTTTGCATGCATTAGGTTTTATTTATTTTTATTGCTTTTATCGTTTTTTCCGGAAAAAAAAAAAACAAAAACAATTGCTTGAGTCGAATGCATCGATGAGTTATAATGATGAGAGATGATCAATGTTTGATGATGAGGTTGCTTGTTTTGTGTGATAAGGATTAAATGTTTGTTTAGCTTTCGATTCAACGGAACTTAGAAACGAATTATTGCTAGGAATCACACTTTGTGCATTGCTTTGGTTGAATCTTTTGTATTTTAAATTTGGAGTTAATTTGTGTTAGATCATGTTATGTTCGGTTTTAGACCTCACCTTAGGAAATTTATGATACGAAGTATTGAGTAGTGAGTGATTTGGGATATGATTTGGGCCTTCTTTGATCCGTTTGAGCCTTTCAAGCCGACCTTTTTATCGAAATTTTCCTTAAACCCTTGATTTGAGCCTCGGAGAAAAGGTGTTCTTTCTTTTAGCCAATGTGTACAAGGTAGAATAGATGGAGATTCTTGAAAAATTACCCCTTGGAGTTCGGTTGAAAATTTTTATAAGGTCCTTCTGCTTCGAAAAAAAAAAAAAAAAAAAAAGACAAATATATATGCTTCTATATATATAAAAAAAAAAAGAAAAAAAAAAGAAAAAAAAAAAAAAGCGAAAAAGAAGAAGAAGAGACTAGAAGGGAGAAGTAAGGATTAATCGTTGAATTGTTTTGAAAGCTCGATCCATTGTCTTAAGAGCAAAAGTGGAGACTTTTGAACTCTTAAGAATCGAGTTTCTTAAAGTCCTTAGAGGTGAATTCATTGTTTCAAACGCCTATCTTTCAAATTTTGGCGTAATCACCTCAATTCAAGAAGAATAGCCACATATACCCATATTTCCTACCTCGAACCAAATAGCCTAACAATTGAAAGCCAAAAAGCCCCAATGATCCCAATAGCTTAATGTTCGATATTAGTAGAGAAGAATATTTTGGTGAGTATTTGGAGTCAAACATATACAGTAAGCATAACTTTTTTCTATCTTTAATTTACAAATATTGGATGCTTGAAGCAATTGCATGATTTGTGGTTTTTGGCTATGGTAAGTGACTAAGTGCTTTTGAATTTTGAGTTTGCGAATGCCTAAGAATTTTCATTATAATTAAAAGTTCTGAAAACGTGAAGTTGGTCATTAATCTATGTGATGAGATGCGGTAGTTGAGTTTTTTGCTTACGATTAGATTTTGCTTGAGGACAAGCAAAAGTTCAAGTTTGGGGGTGTGTTGAGTGTAGATATTACACTCAATACGTTTACTTTACGTGGAACTTTTGTTTAGATTTAATTATATTTGTGCTTTAATTGATTGATTTTGTGTTTTATAGGTGAAAAACGAGAATTAGGTGTCCATGAAGGAAAAAAGATCAAAAAGAAAGGAAAAAAGTTGCAAATAAGGAAACAAATCAAATTGGAAGAAGGAATCCCGCCACAGCTTTGACAGTGTCCACTATTTCGAGCATATCTCTCTCATACGAACTCCGAATGAGGTGATTTTGACGGCATTGGAAAGCTTATTTCAAGGGCTACAATTCTTATTTGCACAATATTCCAAAATTCGGACTCCAACATGACACAAATCGACGAACAAATCCTGGTGGGGGAAAGTGACGGAAATTGATTCCTATTAGGTTTCCACTACTTCCTTATCAAGAAAAGCCTATAAAAGCAACAAATCTCTACACCATAAGGACGAAATTTTACACCACAAAACGCGAGGAACGAAGATCAACGAAGACTCAAGCATAGTTTTTCTTATTTCTTTTATTTTTATTTTGTTTATCATAAGAATTACGCGTAGCTAAGTTTTTAATCTAGGATTTTGTTGGAACCCTATGTGGGGATGGTGAACCCGTTTTCTTGAGATTATGCAATTATAATTTTATGATTATTTCTTATACTTGTTATGATTGTTAGTGCATGAACTTGATCAATTTATGTGCTTTATCTGTGATTATTGGGATTGACTCGACAGAGCTATTTTGATAATTAGACGGTAAGTATAAGAACCTTCGAGTAGTTTTCACCGGATGAGTGTGTCAATTGCATGTGGTGTCGTAGACATACATATATCACCTTAGGTAGCCATTTACGAGACTTGTTAGTTAATGCTTTATTCATAATTTGTTTGCATAGACATATAGTGAACCGTTTATGAATAATAGACTCATAATACACGCGACAGCGGGTTATGAGTAAATTAGTGTCTCGGGTTAATAATCATGAATCATATATTTCATAATTGAGGGGTTTTGGGTGAGCAATTCTTGCATAGGGGGAAGATAAAATCCTAGATCCGTTTTACATTGATATTTTCTCGTGTTATTTGCTTTCTTAATTAGTTTAGTTGTTTAATTGATTTAAATTGACAAACTTGCGTAGGCTGGATAAAAATCATAGTTGTTAGAATTTGGTACTTAGGATTAGATAATTTGAGTATTCCCTGTGGGATCGACATCCGACTCTCACGAGTCCACTTTTACTACTTGTTTGCGATACGTGCACTTGCGTGTTAGGTATTTAGCACCCAACAGGAAGAAACAACGAAAAATAAACTGGGAGTAAATTGAGTACAAGAAAGAAAGAAAGAAAGAAAGAAAGAAAGAGGCACACCTTTTATAAACAATTAGAGAGGTATTTTCGTTAAAATTATCCAATATTTAGTGCAATGGTCGGTCAACTTTGAAAAGTGGCGATTCTTTAACATGGCTTGACGGCAATGACCATATTGTTGCATTTTATAGTACATTGGAGTATTTACGACAGTAATAATAGTACATGAGTGCAATATGTATTTAACGCGTATATTTTAACACACATTCAAACCACCAACGACTTTCAACACATATACTACACACGGTATAATAAATTTTTGGCCACCTTGAAAATTGTATATATAAACACTACACACACACATATATACATTCAGTTCCCATTATTAAATATTAATTAGATATCTTTTCTGTGTTGAATCATGGTTTCAGTGAACAAACCGACGGCACCACCAGCCCATGGTGAAGCACCGCCATCAGAATATGGGCAACCACCACCACCACCACCGCCGCCAACTGGCGTACCTATGCAACCATCTCCGTCGATGCTGCAAGTGCAGGGCAACCTCCCTGGGCCTTGGTCCACTGGCCTTTGCGACTGCTTTTCTGATGTTTCTAACTGTATATATTTCATTCACTTTTTCACCCTCCAAATATTATTATTTTATATTTATATATAATTTCCAATATTAATTATTGATTTTAATTGCATATATATATATATTGATGATCACAGGTTGCATAACATGTTGGTGTCCCTGCATTACATTTGGACAGATTGCTGAGATTGTTGATAGAGGATCCACCTGTAAGTATATATAATTTATTCATTATTATATATATATATATATATATATATATATATATATATATATATATATATATATATATATATATATATATATATATATATATATATATATATATATATATATATATATATATATATATATATATATATATATATATATATATATATATATATATATATATATATATATATATATATATGTAATATAAATATATATATATAGATAAAGAGAGAGAGTAGAGATATAGAGATATATATATATGTATATTTACAATATCAACTTTGGCTAACTTCCACGCCATTACATTCCATCCCCATCTTATATTAATGCACCTATTAAATTTCTCCTTTAAATTTATATCATAATTTTGTTTACTACTATTGTTAGAGAGAAAAAAACAATACCCCCATGTGGTGCATGTAAGCATGGCCGGATATATATATATATATATATGCATAAATATCTCGGTGATATATTATATATTGAAATTATTACATACGTGTTTAATTATCTTCAGCAAAATTGTTAACATGTGTGTTGGAGAAGAAAGTA